ATATGTTCACTTTTATATATATATATATATATATATATATATATATATATATATATATATATAGAGAGAGAGAGAGAGAGATATTTATTTATTTATTTATTCATTATATATATATATATATATATATATATATATATATATATATATATGGATGACGTTAAAATTTTTATACATGTCGAATATTATTAAAATATTCTAACTATTTCTTTAATATACTAGTTAATTGTTGTTATATTATCGTCTGGATATTTTCAATTCTTCATCGGTTCTACAAATTCATTTTGGAATATTACCCGGAACCGTTGTAAAAGCGCCAAGAATGAAGTTTACAATCGATACTCGTATATTCTATGAAATATTCTGTTCCAAATGCTTTTCAGCATTTTATTCCCTTTCGGATACATTCTACGTCCTTCTACAACATTAAGGTCTATTATCTGATATATTTATTATTACTATTATTATTATTATTATTATTCCTTCGTTGAGATTAAGTGACTGCATGTCTCCTGAAATAGGCCAATAGTTTTCTCAACATCCAAGCTGTTTCGAAAAACATCTAAACTTTACCTTTACGACTTTCTCCAGATTGTTCCCATGTTTTCCGAGACCGTTCCAAGTACTTCAGTAAGAACTAGCAAGACTGACACGTTCATGCCCGACAGTTTTCTCAGTTGTCTGGTCAGCTGCAGATACTAATCTTTCATTTCAATTTCTTTTTCTTTTCTTCTTCGTTAAGATGGCGAAAACAATTCTCTGTCAAGATTTCTTTCTGTTTACTCGAACCAAAACCATAACGCAGCTGTTTCATAATGTATATGCCAGCGAGACGGATTAAAGATAAATATAAGCGTATGAATATATATATATATATATATATATATATATATATATATATATATATATATATACCGGTAGTAAATAAAATTATCCAAATCGTGTAACAGCATAACTGTCCATCTTGCAAAAAGTTTAATATCTAAAAAAACACTAAACTACTTCAGTTCCTTTTTTCCAGGTCTTCAGACGTTTAGCCATCTTGATACCATTTGTCGGAAGAATCACTGAAAAACCCTTTGAGTTATTCAACTAGAAAGAGAACAAGTTAAAATTAATTTTGATTTCTTCTCTTTCTATTTGAATAACAGTACATGTCATTTCAACTGAGCAAGGGTGAGAGGAAAAAATCATTCCGGCCTTTAGTAATGATACCAACATTCATAATCTGGCTTCCATATTCAACGTCCATTCAAAAACCACCAAGAACGGTGAATAAGTTTAAAAAAGAGGGAACAGTAGAAAGAAAAACTGGATCAGGAGGTCACGACTGGAAGAGGGATCATTATTTCAACTTAGAGCTAAAGAGATCAATTAGAAAAGGCCCAACTTCAATCCATAAGACGTGTGGTATGTGAGGGAGTTTTACCTATGACAGTCCAAAGAGCAGTGAGAAAAGACTTGAAAATGAAATCGGTCGTGAAAGGTTTGAAGCAAACACCAGAAGTTACTCCAGAATAAAAAGTTGGAAGGTAAGACAGGGCGAAGATCATCTTGAATAAATTGAAAAATGATCCTGGAATAATATATATATATATATATATATATATATATATATATATTAACTTTATTTCAAACCTTCATGAGATTCCGATCTTAAGCTATGATTAATTAATGATGAACATGTCATTTTCGTTTATGATCGATTTCATCACGAATCTTCTGTTAAGCTTGGAGAGTAATTGTACATTCATATTGTTCAATGTAGAGGCAAATAATGTTTTAAAAGTCCTCGGATAAATACGGTAAGATATCTTTAAACATTTCTAAGATGCAACGGTTCAAATTTTAATCTAACTATTGAACAATTTTGCTGTTACACAATTTGGACAATTTGCTGTTACACCCAAATATATATATATATATATATATATATATATATATATATATATATATATATATATATATATATATATATATATAAGAAGTGAACATCTGTGTATGTGTATATTCGCAATATACCACAAGAGACTTCGAGACTTTTACATCAATTTCATCCATGGCGCCATATCTAAATTCTCAGCTGCCTAGAAGCGCGCTTTCTCATATCGCTGTTTAAAGTGACTTTAGTGAATAAACCTGTAGGTCTTAGCAAGAACCATCCTACTTTGAAACTCGTTGACTGGAGCCAGAGAATCACAAACAATATACTTTACCAAATAATTGAGGACTTTCAGCATCACTTGAAGACTTTCAACAACAGCATCAACTTAAATGGATAATACATGTAACTCGAAGAGAAAATAATGACATAATCGAAATGTTGGCATCCTATATTACTTTAAGCAAATGTTTATAAAGGAAATCCTCATCAATACTGGAAAGAGCAAGTGAACTTGAGAAACTATTTTTTTGATTACCTGTGTCAGTAAAGTGAATGTATGAGGAAGCTAAGTGATGTAATGTAAACTACAACTTCGATCTTAAGAATACCACAGATTTTTAAAAGAAACAAATATATAAATACATACATATATATATATATATATATATATGGACAGATTTTTAAATACTGCCACACCAAGACAAGATAACTTTAAGGAAAAGGATCATA